CAAAATTCACAGAATTGAACAACAAAAAGTGAATTTTACTGCTTATAAATTAGAGTAAAGAGAAAAAAATCACTATTTCATATCACATAACTGCAGTTCCTCACAATGGTTGAAATATAAAATTTCTAAAATGCTGCTTCATGAGAAATCTCAAAAATTGCTGGATAACACATTTAGAAGAAACCTGATTTCTAGCAATTAAGCCAACCAGAGTTCACTAATTTGGCCAAAATAAATGATTCAACCTTATTAGTAGTCATGGATAGTTGAAGTTTTAGAAATTTAGAATATAAATAGAAACTTTTTTTTTTTTTACTTTAAAGTTCATGAGTACAAGTGTAGGTTTGCTACATAAGTAAACTTATATCAGGGGGGTTTGTTGTACCAATTATTTTATCACCCAGGTATTAAGCCTAGTACTCATTAGTTGTTTTTCTTGATCCTTCTCCTCCTCAAAAAAGGCCCCAGTGTGTGTTGTTCTCTTCTATGTGTCCATGTGTTCTCATCATTTAGCACCCACTTATAAGTGAGAATATGTGGTATTTGGTTTTCTGTTCCTGTGCTTTGCTAAGGATAACAGCCTCTAGCTCCATTTTTGCAAAGGACATGATCTCATTCTTTGTTATGGTGATGTAGTATTCCTTGTCTATATGTATCATATTTTCTTTATCTAGTCTATCACCAATGGGCATTCAAGTTGATTCCATGTCTTTGCTATTGTGAATAGTGCTGCAATGAACATACACATGAATGTGTCTTTAATTTCAAAGTGCTACATTATTTTAGCCTGCAAATATTTTCATTACTAAGATTATGTAAAATATGGAAATATATATGAAACAATCTCTAGTACAGTATTATTCTAAAACTCTTGGGTTTTTGACCAATGGCACTCTTGTGAAAGAAGAGAAAACTTGTTTTCTACTACACATCCACTTGTCAGGAGCTGAAGGGCACCAAAAATATAGGTACTTCAGCAATGATGAAACAAACTAACTCACACTGGAACTGCAGTTATTGGGAGTTCCTAATTCACTGGGTTTGTTTGGAAGACAGATGGTCGCTTTGGTGACCAAATCAAAAAATGGCTTCATACATGAAACAGAAGTAGATGATGCGGAAGTGAAATCAAGAGAAAGGACAAGGCTGGAATCAAAGCTAAATCTAGAATGTCAAGGACACGTAGTCAATGAGGAAAGCTAGAGACAATACCAAAGACAAAACCAAAGCCGCAGAAAAACAAAAACCATGAACATGGGAAAGAAGAAAAGACCAGCAGATAAATTGCTGTGTTTGTGTGGAGAAAAGTGGATAGATGAAGATGTTAACTAATTCATGTGATAAGACATGAATTCATGTGGCTGTGCACATTCCAAATTACCCAATTTAAACTGTGATATATCTGAAATATCCAAAACACAAGTTAACCATATTCTCTCATCTGTGGTAATTCCAGTACTTGTCTACAGGGAACACTTCAGGGGAGCAATTATGTTGGAAAAGAAGACCAAGAGATTTATCATGAATCTATGTTTTTATATTAGTTACACTGTTTATCCATAAATGTAAGTTATAGAATTAAAGATTTAAACATAAGACCTAACACTATAAAAACCCTAGAAGAAAACCTAGGAAATACTATTCAGGACATAGGAATGGGCAAGGACTTCATGACTAAAACACCAAAAGTAATGGCAGCAAAAGCCAGAATTGACAAATAGGATCTAATTAAACTAAAGAGCTTATGTACAGCAAAAGGAACTATCATTAGAGTGAAACAGCAACCAAGAGAATGGGGAAAAAATTTGCGATCTACCATCTGACAAAGGGCTAATATCCAGAATCTACAAAGAACTTAAACAAATTTACAAGAAAAAAACAACCCCATCAAAAATTGGGTGAGGCTATGAACAGAAACTTCTCAAAAGAGGGTATTTATGCAGCCAACAAACATATTTAAAAAGTTCCACATCACTGGTCATTAGAGAAATGCAAATCAAAACCACACTGAGATAACATCTCATGCCAGTTAGAATGGCGATCACTAAAAAATCAGGAGACAATAGATGCTGGAGAGGTTGTGGAGAAATAGGAATACTTTTGCACTGTTGGTGAGAGTGTAAATTAGTTCAAACATTGTGGAAGACAGTGTAGCGATTTCTCAAGGATCTAGAAATAGAAATACCATTTGACCCAGCAATCCCATTACTGGGTATGTACCAAAGGATTATAAATCATTCTATTATTCATTCTATTATAGAGACATATGCACACATATGTTTATTGCGGCACTGTTCACAATAGCAAAGACTTGGAAGCAACCCAAATGCCCATCAATGATAGACTGGATAAAGAAAATGTGGCACATATACACTATGGAATATTATGCAGCCACAAAAAAGAATGAGTTCATGTCTTTTTCAGGGACATGGATGAAACTGGAAATCATCATCCTCGGCAAACTCACACAAGAACAGAAAACCAAACACTGCACGTTCTCACTCATAACTGGGTGGTGAACAATGAGAACACATGGACACAGGGAGGGGAACATCATACACCAGGGCCTGTTGGTGGGTGGAGGACTATGGGAGGTACAGCATTAGAAGAAATACCTAATGTAAACAACGGGGTGATGGATGCAGCAAGCCACCATGGCACGTGTATACCTATGTAACAAACCTGCACATTCTGCACATGTACCCCAGAATTTAAAGTATAATAATAATAACAATAAGATCCGATCTTAAAAAAAAAGAAAAATAAATATAATAAGCTTTTCGAATGAGGCTTTTATTACTATTTTACATAATATTTTAAAATACTGTAGGTCACATTAAAATGTTATTTTATTATTTTGAATTTATACTTAAGGGTGCTTTTGGCTGCAAATTACAGAACATTTGGCTAGATGTTAGACAATAAAACTTAAATCACCTTAAAAAATAAGGCATCAAGAGACAAGTCTTTCTACATTTGGTAGAGAAATTCAACAGTATCATCTGCTCTATCAGCCTCAAAGCATTGTATTTTTGTCCTTAGATTGCTACCTCATGATCTCAAGATATCTGTCAAAACTCCAAATATCACAGTCTTATACAATAGTATTCAAGTCAGGAAGGAAAGAACCTTCTTTGAGGCATTAATTCTTTTGTTTTTTTAATTGAGAAGAAAATGTGTCTTAAAAATCCCTGTAATACTTCTTTTTTATGTCTCATTGACCAGAACTGGGTCATAGCCACACATAAGCCAATCAGGAACAAAGAGGGCTAGAATTACTATGACTGGACTATCTTGATCATGAATTATGCCCCAGAGATGACTGAGGGGCCCACCTTCCCAAAAATAAGGAACTGCTATCTGTTATCTAAACACAGCTGTGCTTCCATCTGCAGGAAAAAAGCAAGTGCTGCAACACAGCTCCTGGGGGTTCATGGCAACATGTAAGAACTAAAACTTGGCACCAACACATCCCTAGGTGCCATTATTCTCTACTTTATCAGTTACAGATTCTTGTCTCAGCCATGGATACGTGCATTTTTAGTCAACTTGGAAAAATGAAGTGTAAAAATTAGTCTGGTCCCTAGGAATCCAAAGTGGCAATGTATTTCATATACTTGCAAATCAAACCTTTTTGTTTGTTTGTTTAAGACAGAGTCTTGCTCTGTTGTCCAGTCTAGAGTGCAGTGGCTCAATCAATCTGGGTTCACTGCAACCTCTACCTTTCAGGTTCAAGCAATTCTCTTGCCTCAGCCTTCTGAGTAGCTGGGACTACAGGCTTCCTCCAGCACACCCAACTAATTTTTGTATTTTTGTAGAGACAGGATTTCACTATGTTAGCCAGGCTGGTCTCAAATGTCTGACCTCAGGTGATCTGTCCACCTACCCAAGCCTTCCAAAGTGCTGGAATTAGAGGCATGAGCCACCACTCATGCTACAAATCAATGCTTAAGAAAGTAAAGTTAGTAAGTAGTTGGTCAAGAGTCACAAGTTACATCTGGCCTCAGACATAGATCTGTAGTCATGATCAAGCAATGTCTCTTAGATTCTCACTCAGGAAAATGATTATCATATAGAATAACTTAACAACAGTGTAGTTCACCATTTCATTCCTACTGCTTAGAATTCCTAGTATCTGGAACTGCACCTTAGAAGTTTGTTTCTTAGGCTAAGATATTCATTATGTTAAAATATAATTGTCTGGCATATGGATAGTTATTTAAGTTCTACATTATTACATACCAGTGTAAACTAATATTGAGCTGTCTCCTGAGAAACTGGTTTCTTTTGGGTAAGCAGAAGAGAGAAGTACTATGATGAAGGTTAGGAGATGATAATTTGGACCTGAATTCATCAGGAATAGCAGAGGCACACTAGAGGCATCAAAGACCCACTTGAAAAAAAAAAAAAGATTTTGCATCAATCCCTGAGTCTTTGTGCCCTTTTATCAGAAAATAAGAATTATACTACCCATTCATTCCTGGGGGACAAAATAACTTTTGTACTGGGAATCTCATTCTCCTTCTGATTTTCTAATTCTTCTTAATTTTGATAATTATGGAAGTTTTATAAAAGGTATATCTTTTTTTACATAGGTTTTCCTAAAATTTAGGCGATTAGCTGAAAATCATACATTAATATAATATTATAGACTAATGTGCAAATGTGGCCATTTTCAGGATGCAGACGAATCTGAAAAGCAATCCAATTATAAAGTCTGAAAAATTATCTTCTGATCAGGTATAAAACCATTCAAAGCTATAATTTTCCTTTTAGATATAAAAGATGCATCTATTCTGACTCTCAATGTGAACTGAGAGTTAATTTATATCTGCCTTGATATAAGATCCATATAATATAAAGACTAAGAATTTAATTTGAAAATAAAATGCAGTCACTTCATTTAGCAGCAACTTAATAAAGGTATTTGTTTTAAATTCTAATGGTTAATGAACAGAAGATAAATTTGTACAACTGATTTTAATACAGATCCCACTTACCTCTGTATGTAGGGTAACTAACTTGTCTCAGTATGTGAAAGACATTCCTGGTCTTAGCACTGAAAGTCCTGGTTCTCAGGAAACCAGGATGGTTTGTCACACAGCTGTGTGGAACATATCAATATGGAGAAGCCAAATAACTGCTGTAACTTCATTGATTACATATGAATCCATCTACCTAACATTAACATCAGCATGTAGAATACACGGGGCATATTTCAGATTCACAATAGAACCCAACAACTTATTATGCCATTGACTCAACATAATCATATTTTTCTATTCTGCTTCATATAAGATCATCATGATGATTCACAGAGTAGCATGTGCATAGAACCCAACAACTTCTTATGAAGTCATTGCTCAACATAATCTTATTTTTCTACTCTGCTTAACATAAATATGATGATTCACAGAATAGCATGTATGTGGACTTCTTAAGCACCTGGAGCTAAGGTTCTATGTTTCAGTGCCCAAGACAAGAAACTATTGTTGCTATTCGAATTTTCTAAGAAACTGAAAGAAATCTAAGCTCATGTTTGTGAAGCCAAAAGGAAATATGTAATTGTGTAATCGTCAGGTGAATCTAGGTAACCGGTGTAGCCACAGTGCTAAAGCAAGCAGAGCTCACTTGGGGGCAGCTGAAAAATTCTTGTTTTTCGTATACACCATTTGTAATTCAAAATGTGATCTTCATAATAATCCTCTGAATCTTTCATTATTATCTTCTAAGGTTAAGTGAAGTTAAGCAACTTGACCAAATTCATGTAGTAAATATATAGCATAGCTAGGCTTGAACACACGTCTGTTTGTCCCTACAGCATATGATATTTGCATTACACCACCACTTTCTGCCCAGCATAGTTGACTGTCTTCTGGGGAAAATTCATCATTTCAAATAACTCTTCATGTGTGACATGATGTCAGTAAGCTCTCTCCATTTTAAAACACATTAGTTGGACAGTGATGACATATGGGTGGATCCATGTTTTCAGTATGATTATGTTATTGCTGTAATTGTTCTTATCATTTAGTCGGATAGAGCAGGAACGGTTCTTCACGGAACTTTTCATGAAGCAAAAAGAGCACTCTTGAACAAGAGTTAACTGCTAGAGCAGCAGCATCTGACCCACCCTCTTGCTTCTGAAGTTGTTCTCTGCACTGAGATTACTTCTCATACTTTCCTGGAAAAGGAAGAACATTCTCTCGTACTTAGAATAAAACACATATAAAAATCACCTCAGTCTCAGAAGCAGTGATGGCCACTTGCCCACTTTGTACAGACATGAATATTTTCTCTTCTTTCCCTAAATGAGGGAAGTTATTGATCCTGTGAGGGATCACAAGTGTTTTTCAATAGAGCATTGTGATACAAGGAGTGGTCTCTAGAGTCAGACTGCCTGTGTTGAAATCCTGGTTGGATCACATGGTCAAACTACTTCAACTCTGGGTCTTTGTTTCCTTGTCTGTAAAATGGCAATGATCAACTTCTCTTAGAATTTTAAAATTACCTGATTTAATACAAATAAATCACTTAGGATATAGCACACAGTAAGTGCTCTTATAAGTTTTAAGCTATTTTTTTTCAAGGATCAAGGGCACACAGCATTCATAAAAAGACATTTACTGAGTCCCAAAATCTACAGTGCTTAGTACTAGACACAAGAGCTACAGGAGGTTTAAGACATGGTCTTGGTATTTAACAATATTACAAACCAACTAAGAATACAAGAAATGTGGCAGAATAGATAAATAGCAATACAAGTAACACCAGCTAAAATGCAAAGTACCTGTCATGCGTTATTAAATTTGATTTCTGATAGACAATACTAGGCAGACATTATTTACCCTTTATAGTTGAAAAAAAGGGCTCAAAGAAGTCACCCCTGCTCATAAACACTGTGTATCCTGATTCACTATATATGAAGAACTGAGACTTCAGTTTCTTCACCCTAACATCTTATGAAGTCAAAATAGAGCTGCTGTGAAAATCCTGGACATCTTATGAAGAAGGAAAGCATCTGAGAAGAACAGAGACACCCTAGGGAAACTGAGCCACGGAGAGAGAATGCCAGAATCACGGAGGCTTTCTATTGTTAGTGCCGGCCTGTCTCGAGCTCAGGTTCATTTCCCAGGTTCATCCTTCTTTTACCATGATACAGACTTTAGGAACCCAGTGGGCTCTCCTCCTTCATGCTGCTGTCACTCACTCATTGCTTTGAGATTGTCTTCATATCCCTCATATTGTTGAAGGTTGGATGGGGTCTACTCTCATATCATCCCCTTCCCAACCTCTCCAACTTTCACAGCTCCTGAAGGTCAGCTCACAAATTCTGTGTTTAAGCTATTAAAAGCCACTCAGTTTGGGGTAACAGAAAACAAACAATAATTAAAATGAGATCTCACTGTATACCAGTTTGAGAATCCTACAGAATTCTTACAGTGATCCCTGGTTGACAGCTGCTGACTCCCCGTAGAGAAGTTAACAAGGCCTTGTGTGTTTGATTCTCTCCAGATCCACAGAATAGATTTGATGAAAACTCTGCTCCCACCACTTTCTTCCTCACATTCTTAGATATACATATTCTCTTCGATAAATGAGCCAACCAGCCAACAGACTGTATTGTTAGTGGTGTAAAACAGAACAAATCAACTTCACCTGAGGAAAGTACATTCATACTGAAGGCTTTGAATATGTCTTAGAAAAATCACTCTCCATTATACACAGTCTCATGAACAAATAGAAACAACAACTACTCTTGACAGATGAAAACACTATACAAAGAAAAAAGAAGGCTATGGAATCCTGAAAGAGTTGAGATTTTGGAAGTTGCATATATCTGGCATAATCTTCAGAAGCATCAGTGTTAATTTTGATACTATGTAGAGAAATTGAAACCAGTGGGGTTGAGGGTGACTGCTTAGCCTGTCTCTACAGGCTGGATCTGTGAATAGCTTCACTTTCATTTTCTATTTGAATGTTTTACTTATTTATACTCAGTAGTGTTTCAAATGGGATAGAATTAGTTCAGTTTGCTTTGATGAGTGAAGACCAAAAGCTAAATCCGACTATAATTGTTACATGTCAAGATTAGAAGGCAGAGGGAGAGAAGAATGGGTCCTCAGATCTGAAATGCAGATATTTCTGAGAATCATCACTCAAAACACTCAGAAAGGTGTGTTTTATGAAAAGTAGATTTATAAACAGTTCCATTTTCATTCAAAGTAAAGTCTCAAACCTTCTCTAGTGAAGAAATAAAAATTAAATAAAGAAGCTATGCTTAAAATGACATGCATTTTATCTCACTAAAGTATAGGATATTAAGCAAAGGTTTGGTTGCCTTGGTGACAAACTATCATCAAAAGAGATGCATATCTCACAGAAAGGATATGTAAAATGCTTTCAATATACTATATTCATTGTGGAGAAATACAGAAATTAAAAATAAACTGTATCAAACATCAATTTTTGTGTGTTTAAAGAATGTTCTGGCTTGAGCAAAGGATCCCTTATGCTATTTTTTATTTCTTGAGCTGCTAAAAGCTTTCCTAAAGTGTTTTGAAATTTACTGACAACCACAAAGATTTTAAGAAAAGTTTTTAAATTTCAGAGAATTTATGTATGTGTGTTTTTTTTAAATTTAGTGTCCCATAGTTGTATTCTTAATTGCCCAAATGATTCATGAACATAGACCTAACTAATAATGATCAACATGTTTATTATTGCTACTCTGTAACATATCATAAATATACTCATCTAGAATATAAAGTAAATGTTTTTCCTCGTATGCATTTTATTCTACAGAGTCCATTTAATCAAAAACAGGATTAAAAGGCCAATCTTCTAAAACACAGGCTTCTTAATCTACAGATAGATTAAGAAGACTAAAGGAGAAAAGTAAACTTTACGGAACCTATATGAGAAAATGTATACTGCTGTACATTGGAATTGTTAACATAGACTGGGAGAGGGTCATTTAAATGAAAAGAAATTTCACTGAGTAGGAAAGTCTAGGAAAATATCAAGAGCAAATATGCAGGTGAGGGCCCCATTTCTATCTCAAAACTTGTTTTTCTTTATTGTAAATCGTTGGGATTACTTAAAATAATAAATACTTACTGAATTTTTAAAACATCACCTAGGAAAAACTGTCATCAATATGTTGGTGTATCTCCTTCCCAATATATTTCTATGAATATTTTACATACTTGGTTAAACACTGTGTACAAGTTTGGATCCCATTTTCTTCTATTTAATATAAAAATAGGTGCTTTCCAATAGTATAGCACACTTATCGTAAACTTCTTTAAAGGCTGTAGTAACTTTTCAACATTTTGAAAGTATCCTAATTTACTTTTTACATCCTCTACTTTAGAACATTTATTTCTTTAATGAATGTGGGTACTACTCGCACACCTATTTATATCTTTGTGATGTGAAGGAAAGGGAAAAGAAAGCTAGAAAGACAGCAATTTTTAAAAGGAAGAAATAGTACACAAAAAAATCCCAGCCTGATAATATGTATGTTCAGTTCTCACTTATATGGGCTAAAATATATAATATATCATACATGCTTCTATATAAATTGGAAAAAACAGAATTTAATTTGTATGTGCTGAATTGAAATGCTACCAGGCTATGTATCCAGGCTGTTAACATGGGTCCCAGAAATTGTAAATTATTGACTTTTATATTGCTTCTCTTGTTAAAATTAGCAAGTTTAATTTTTGTATTTTGAAGATTCAAGTAATAATATTTTATTGCATTAGGTTGGTGCAAAAGTAATTGCTGTTTTTGCCCTTAAATGTAATGGCACAAACTGTAATGGCTTTTGGGCCAACCTAATAGCACATTTAAATGGCTACATGCAAAGATCAACCAGAAAAAAAGAGGATATGAGTATCTGTGCAGTTGACCAAAATTATATTTTTAAAATCTCAATGTATATTAAAAATGTGAACAGAAAAATCCAAATAACTATCCGTGAATGTTGAGGATATAAGATTTTGTTTCTTATTTTTTATTTTTTCAAAAATTTCATAGTAAATAGGAATTCATTTTATAATGAAAAAAATATAAATTCTACATTTTATTAAAATAAAACGTATACCTGGCATTGATTCCAATATGCTATTCCTTAGCTGTGAACTTGGACAAACCATTTGACTACCCTAGTCCTCATTTTCATCATGTATAATGATGATTAGCAATATAACCTCTGCCTAACAGATGCATTTTTGTAAGAATTAAAGTGCCTGTGAAAGTAGTATAGAAATTAAAACATTCTATATAAATATACAATGTCATTATGACCAGTAATTTAACTATATGGCTAAGTAAAGAGAAGAGAGGAAAGATAACTACAGCTTCTTCCACTCTTTAGCAGGCACCCAGATATTATTTGGCAAACTACACTTGAAGGATGCTGAGGAGGGAAGAAAGAACAGGGTGAAGTGGAGAAGAAGCTATAGAAGAGGGAAAAAAATCTGCCTACAGATTTTTCATAATTATCACTTAGACTAAAAGAAAATTTCCTTAATGCTGTGTTATGCACCCCTAAAAGCCATTATGATCAGATGCTAAGAGCTCTTCAGATTACCAGATATTCCTCTTACCTGATTACATGAGGAAAGACAACAGTTGTTAAGCAGTTTCCCAATTTAGCCTTATCCTTTTTCCCTACATTTCTTTACTACACTATACCACAACAAATTATTTAGCAAAATTTATTTCATGCTGTCAATGGCATAGCTCATTGGCTTCAAAATAAACTAGACTTTAAAAATCAGTTAACTCCCCTGATAAAAGAACTCTTCCATACTGATAAAAGAACTGTTACATAAATAAAAATAAAACAATAATTAATACTACATTAATGTGATCTGGAATCAACTGTCACTTTGTTTTTTCATAATATAATCTCAACTAGATCATTTAACACATTTAAATGTATTAAACTCTTGATATTTCAAAATCACATTTTATACTAGACACCAAAACCTCATTATTTTTGCCAGTGATTATAAAATGCTTTTCTGAACTAAGAAGCTGGGTCAAACTCCATTATCAAAAATCATTATTCATTTTAAATTATAATTTTAGAAATCCTTAAAAGTCTCAAATCCCTAAATATTCTATTTCAAATTGCTTTCAAATATAGCCAACCTTTTTCAGATTCAATTGTTTTGATTTCAACTTCTGTAATGCATTCGGAGGGTTTTTTAATGCAAAAAACAAAAACACTTGATCTTATAGACTATTAGTTCCTATTACCAACAGTTTTACAGCCTACAGAATGAGCCCACCATAGTCTAACTGCTATCCACAGGCCAGAGTATAAGTGAACAATGAAAGTCAAGTTTGCATGGTCCATGGTCTCACAGTGGGAGCTAATTAGTTTCTCTGGAGCTTCTTAGTTTCATCATCTACAAAAAGAGATATTTGAATAAACACATTTTCCAGAAGCACATTCTGGAGCACAGTGGTCCTACCTGATGGTATATGAAAGACAGGCTGGGATCGGCTGGGTTGAGGGGATTATTAACATGGTGAATTTAAGAAATGCTGTATCTTGTGTTCCTTGTTAGAGAGTCACATGTGGATGAGCCAAATAGATACTTAGAAGAAACCTTTGTAATTCACCCTAAATCACTGTTTCCATAATTTATATAAGCATGTAATCATCCTGTAATTATTTCAGAAAGAAGGTAGAGGTAGTGAGACTCCAGAACAGTGAGACACAGTTTGAGAAAGTAGATTTTATAATTACTAGCATCCCTTCTAGCACTAAAGCTTTCTGATATTATGTTGGTTGACAAAAGAGTAGTAGGATGTATCCTGATTATAAGACAGTTATGTCAAAAAAACTTACTACATGGTAACAAATAAATTAAAAAACTAATAAAGCCCCCACTAAAAATGATTAATGCCAAATATCCTTTTTTGATATCTCATACTATGAAGAGTTGCCAGCAGCAGCATAAATCTAGGTGAAAAGGGAAGAGATATAAGATTGTCAAGCATTAAAGATTATGGTTTTATATGCAAAATAAGTTTTTGTTTACTTTTATTTTACTTTTTTAGAGATGAGGTCTCACTATGTTGTTCAGGCTGGAATGCATTGACACGCATCGCAGCCTGGAACTCTGGGCTTAAGTAATCCTCCCACCTCGGCCTCCAGAGTAGCTAGGACTACAGGCATGTACCACCACACCCAGCTAATTTTTATATTAATTTATGCATTTTTAAGAGATGGGGTCTCATTCTGTTACCAAGGCTGGAGTGTAGTAGTGCAATTATAGCTCACTACAGCCTCAAACACCTGGGTTCAAGCAGTCCTTCCACCTCAGCCTCCAGATTAACTAGGATTACAGGTATGCACCACTATGCCCCATCAAAATAAGCCTTGAGAACAAGGAGTCTTTATACGGTGGTGTATTAGTCTATTTTCACACTGCTATAAAGAAATACCCAAGACTGGATAATTTATGAAGCAAAGAGGTTTAATTGACTCACAGTTCCACATGGCTGAAGAGGCCTCAAGAAACTTACAATCATGGGAGAAGCGGAAGCAGGCACATCTTTCAAGGAGTCAAGAGAAAGAGTGAGCGCATGAAGGAGGAACCGTCAAATACTTATAAAACCATTAGATCTCAGGAAAACTCACTCACTATTATGAGAATAGCATGGGGGAACCACCCCCATGACCCAATGACCTCTCACCAGGTCCCTCCCTCAACACATGGAGATTATGGGGATTACAATTAGAGATAATATTTGGGTGGGGGACACAGAACCAAACCATATTAAATGGTGTTGTTTCTCTTTTCCAAAAAACACCTTTATCATCTGTATAATATAAAATGAAAAGCCATAAAAATATTTTTAATCAATGCTTCCAATTCTTAGACATCTGTGTTTGTATGGTTGCTGTATAACTAGTAGATTAATAAGTGGTTCAGGGTAATTTGCAGAGAAAATAGAGTGGGTTGAAAGGAATGCAAAGCACATTCATTCTCTAGCACTTAGAGAAGCTGGAATGAGAAATGGTATAGATTGACTGCGGAGACTAGAGTCAAGGGAAATCAAAACAAATTACTTTTCAGTTAGATTACAATGAGCCGTCATCCCATCTCTACGTTCCTGAGAACATACACTTGCTCTGAATGCTGACTAATAGCTTGTTAACAGTGCAGGAGGGGAAAAAATGCAGTGTTGAGATCCTGGGTTTCCTTTTCCCTTTATGTTTTTTGTTCCCAAAATTAACCTCAGCATTTGCCTTCAGCCAGATAAATCCAGGTCCAACTCAGGCCCTGTCACTTCATGGACTGTATTTTCTTGGGCAAATCCTTAGATGTCTCTGAGCCTGTTTCTCTCATACGTGAAACTGAGATAAGAGTACTTAACTTGTATATAACATGCAAACTTGAAATAGTGCATGTTAAAGTGCTGGCACAGAGCAAATGCTCCACAGTCGGGTCTGACCCTAGGCACACAGGGCAATATATGGAGTCCGTGGTAGTCCCACACCACTTCTATATAACAATAATTCATACCATTTCCATAAAACAATATTCCCTCTCATACAGATGTGTAGTATTCTCAATTCTATCAGGTAAAGTAACCCTCACACCCAGCACAGTACAGCATGTTATGGTGTCACAGCTAAAAGTCATTTAGCATTTGCTGTGTGCTAGGCACTATTCTCAGTCTATCACATATAGGCTCTCAGTGACTCTCCACAACAACCTTTGAGGTTGAAACTATTACAAATAACAAACCTGAGGAATGAGGATGGTGATGGTATCACTTCTGGTAACCCTGGCTGTATCAGAGCTGGTACTAAACCCAAGCCTTTCTGACTCCAAAGCCCATGCCCTTCCTCAACTCACAATACTAGTACTGGTATCTAGGCCTATCCTGATGCAGTAGTCTTCTGCTCTAAGAAAGCACTTTCCAATCTTTTCCTGAATAGCTTCTTTTCAAAGATAAAAACTGTATAACCCTCTATTATACCCCTCCCCAGTTATACAAGCAATTTTAATTTTCTCTGGGACTATGCATAGGGATAAATGCTATCTTTACTGCAGATATGCTTTCATATGAATTTGCATGTTACTAGGCATGACAGCACCTATACACATAAAAATTATATTTACTACTGTGTGGAAGATAGATTGGCAATTTACACAGTGTTTCATGTACTCTAGATAACGCTTTTAATAATTCCACAGCCACCCCTCTCAGATATCTATAGCCCATCCATTGGGATTCACTGTCTAACCCTTTCCTGACGCTGCCAAAACTTACCTTTAACTTAAAAAGTTCTATTTTTGATGGGCAAGTTAATCTATAGTTTGTAGCATTATACTTTTTTTTTTTTTTTTTT